AAGAAAGACAGACCATACTTCAAGTATATTCAAATCTGAATATTCAACATATAAGATTATCTGACGGTCAGATTCTCTGCTCCGCAAGAGACACATACCATACATAATAAATATTCTTATATCAGTATGAAAAACATTGGAATACTGGAAAAAATCTAAACATGTAACCTATTTAGATTTGACATCAGCTGAGGAATCAACAGTCAGAGTTCAACCACTTTTCATTTTATAAAGAAATGTTTAATCTATTTAATTATCTAGTTGCAATTTTAGATTAGTTTGTAGCTTTACTGCAATAATTTTTTGAAAAAGAGCGAAAAAACAGAACTGTTAGCTGGACAAGCCGAGTAGAGAAACTAGTAGAACAATTATCGGTGCTTAAACTGCAGAACAAACAATTTTTCTCTAACAAATTCGAAATGGGTTTTAACAGTTGTGATAGTTTACCTCACGAAGTAACTCCTTATAAGCGCTCTCAAAATCTTGTTCTGTAAAATCAATACTTCTCAGGCCACCGAACATAATCTTTAACCATTCTTTTGCGGAGAATCCAGATTCTACTACAACTGGAATTACAGAACGTCTTGATTTCTCAACATAATCAGCGGTATGGTGACAATTTTTACTTTCATTATATCCTGTTGACATGCAAATAATTATGATTTTGGAATTGTCTACAGCACTAGCTACTCCGGCCCATATATTACCGTGTAAATCTTCTGTATATGTCCATACTGAATAATTATCCTCGATTAAATGCTTTCGTATGGCGGACGCTATATTTTTATCTTTCCAACAATTGTCAATCATAATATCATATTTAAAAGATGACGCTCGTCGTTCATCATTTCTTAATTTAATATTTTTCTGTGTTGTTGTCGATGAAGAGGTTGAAATGATTTTCTCTATCTCATTAATAAAACCAGAATAAATAGTACGTGGCAGAGTTATTTTGTTAGTCTCTCGTAATTGTGAATTGAGTGAATCGTATACGGTCGTCGAATTATTCTTACTTCTCTTATATAAGTCGATCAATTGCTCTCCGTTAATATTTTTCATAATAGGTATCATTAGAGTCAATTTTTTATCACGTAAAAAATCTTGTATATTTTTCTCTGACCATTTTATAATTTCAAGATGAGTATCCGAAACTCCATTCGATTCTGTTAGTGGTTGTGAAGGTTCGAAACTTTTTCGAGATAGAGGAACATGAAAACCGGGTGTCTGATTCGCAATCTCTTTCATTAATTTTTCATACGCCGTATCGAAATCAGTTTTTGTAAAGTCGGTATAGTTACGAGCACCAATCAGTATTCCTAGCCAACCTTTTGCACGATAGCCTTTAGAAACAACCAACGGGATAATGTTCGAACGTTGATTGTGCGCATAATCTGCTTCACGTTGGCAAGTTGTACTCTTTTCATATGCTTCAGACATGCATATAAGCACAAATTTTGATTGATCAATTCCACGTGCCATAGAATCCCATGATCCGGCATAAATACCGTCTAAATCGATCCATACTTTAAAATTATGATCAGTTAACTGTTGATATAGTTTATGACATATATTTTTATCACTATGTGAATAACTGATCATGAAAGTAAATTGCGATGCGGTTATAGAGTCAGTTGTTAACATATTCTGGAATAAAAAATGCTGATTGTATAAACAAACAAGTTAAAGTGAAGTCAAATGTATCAAATGCAAGAAAGTGACTACAACAAAAAAGAAAAAAAAATTTTAAAAAAAGAACTTTATATTATTCTACTGAAGAGAATCTACAAGAAGAAAAGAAAACAAAAAAGCGAAGAAGGCTGATATTTAAATAAAAAAGGAACATGGTAGCATTTAAGGTTTCAAAAAAGCAAACTTTTCTAACGAAAATATTTCTGTTGATTGTCTTTCTCATGTGCAGAGGGGATCATTAACGTTCTACTAATTCTAATCCTTACACTAAGGTTCTTCCTATATGACAATTGATGAAGAAAAAAACGAGAACAAAGGTAGAGAAAAGTGAGAGAAGAAAATGATGACGTTCATGTGATCATTTAATTGACAAAAGCTTTTTCTGTACATTCTAACAGTGAATAAAATAACTTATTTATATTAATAAATCTAACGAATATATTTTATAACTATGAGCTATGTTGGTGCTAATATTCATTTGCAACCAATGAAAGGATTTGATTATAACAAGAATGATACGGAGGATTCATCAGATGATTCTGATATTGACGTTATACAGCAAGTTGATAATAATCAGAATGATATACATTGTTTAACAAGATATTTAAATATCAATTCAGATGATGAAGAAAGTGATAAAGGACCAATAGACAACGAAAATGAACAGTCAGTATCAGCGGATGACAATAAGTTAAATGATGATCCACAACAACCTTTAACGACCAATACTGCTGCTTCAATCACTACTTCATCAATAACAACAGTAAACCAGCGTGAACTGTCTCCAACAGCTGATGAAGCAAAGTATAGAACGAAGAAAAATTATCGTTTAAACAATTACAGCCATCATCGAAATCTTACGGACGATTCCTTATCGTTTATCATTACAAAAACCGAAAGGACACTAGAAAATACTGCTAGATGAAACTTGCAAGATAATTTACAGTTTTTATGCGTATAGTCGTCATAGCGTAACATAATTCTTTTAAAGCACGAGAAATGTAATTTAGTTCATCAGTGACATGCTGGGAAAGATTTATCTTACCCGACCGAAACTTCTATAGGATGTCCAAAATCGTGCAGTGGTTGAAAAGAGGGACAATATGTTTTTAAAATATCTGTTTTTGTTCCCTTTTAAAGATTTTATAACGCTATTTTATAAGGCCTTTAAGATTGAATGATTGGTCGGTCTTTTTCGAATCTTCTAAACTGTAAATGCATGATTTCTCTTTTGTATTTACTTTTAGTCAGTTTCGATAATGCAATAATTGGTTTTTCTAATAAATCTGATCTTCTTTAGTGATACAAACATTCAATGCAATTGCTGACATGTCCAATACAAAATTAAACTGCTTCCAAAGAATCAGCGACTAAATAAAAATTGTCCAAAATTCTATCCAGCGCTTAAAAACGCGCACGAAGATCACAATTATAAAAGTCAAACACACGTCTAAATTTTTCTTCTGGTAGTAAGAAATTATATTTTTATTTACTCCTTTTACAATTATGTACTTGACTGTTATGTTCCCAAATATAAACAGAATAATTTTCTATCACTGTATTTGTCATGAGCTAATAATCCAATTATTTACACGAAAAACACATTTAGAACACAGCTATTTATATATAACAACAGCCGTAGTACAGGAGATAACATGACATTAGCAGAATAGAAAAGAAAGTGTTTCTTGAATCCTTGTACTTGTGGGTTAAGAAATATCACAAGATCTTGGAAAACCACCAGGAGGTCAAGATCTTGGATTCGTGAATCTTTCACTCAAGATCGTGAAACATCTTGGTGTACTCCACTCAACATCTTGGGAACAGAAATTTCACGATCTTGATTGAATTGCGAATGTGCCCTTTTAAAAAATAAAAATAAAAATTTGAATACAAAAATGTAATCTTCGAATTTTTAAGAACTCTCATTTTAAATTACTCATCTAGCCAGTCCTCGAAAAAATTAAAAAATATACTATTCGATCAGGAATTAAATTCTCTACAAAATGACATATTTTTTCCGAAGTTCTGACATCAAGAACGGATTTTATAAAGTTTTAAAGTATAGAGTCAAACTTAAAAGTTTAGTATAATTTTTTCAACTCTATTTTAAGATGGGTTGATAGGACTCACGTGAATATAAAAATCAAGTTCCTTTTAGGACCTTACGTGTCTCAATATTCTGTAAGAAAAAACTGTGTCACAGCGTTACTCTACAAAATCGATTTTTCGACGCGTGCCGAAGGGTTTGGAAAAAAGTTCTTTTAACCAAAGAAAAGCCCGTTAGCTCCTCTACAAACTTGCCTGAGGAAACTTTTCAGATGCTCAACTCAATTCGCAGGAATCAGAGCTGTATCAAGAGTTCTCAAGAAATAGGGACCTTTTCTGTCACAGCGTTACTCGTCGAAAAATCTTTCTGGAAACTCGAATCTTGAGCCGAAAATCTTCATTTTCATAGCGTATTGTAGAGTTTGATAAGGTACGTCGAATGCCGCCAGAACGAACTTTCTAGCTCACACATTTTTCTAGAAAACTGCAAATTACCGTGTCAAAAATGTCTCAGCGTTATCTTAGGACAAGCCGCATAGACTCTTCGTTAAACAACTATGTTCGAGAAGGAAAAAAAATCTAAGTGTGAACATATTCGCACTTCTATTTACACAAGAGTGTAAAACAAAACGATGATTCAAGAATTTCCAAGTTCTTGATACAATAAGTCAAGAAATTACAAGATGTTCAAGTTCTTGACTTCTTGAACTCCCTTGAATTCTTATATTTTCCTACCAAGAAATTACTGGAAAAATTCAAGAAGTCAAGATTTTGGGTACAAAAAGTTTCACTATTTCTAAACAGATGATGTCATTGTGTCTTTTATGACATAACATTGACTTCAACTTACACTGATGTCTTATGATTCATACCTTATATCAATTTTAACAAATTATTTTGTCTTTTATTCATGTCACTTTCTATTATTGATATTATTACTTGACTAAACTCTTAGTAACTAAACTACACATTACTAAACAGCACATTAGAGTAATATTCTCACTTTTCATTCTACACTTTGTCTTTCCATTCTGCAAATAACTTGTGACATAGTATAGAGCAGAAAAAAACATCAAATAACTATTATTTCTTTCACAATCTCGAGAAACTGCGAAAAGAGACAGATGAATCGTTATATGCCTAGGTATACAGGAAAATGAAACAGCGTTAGATTGATTCAGTTGATTATACAAAGAATAGTGCTGAATTAGAGAGCTGAACATAATAATAACGAATAAATAATAATGAAAGGTTAGTAAAGAAGATCTGTGTGAAAAAGAACAACAGAAAATAATATTATTTGTTAATAGTGTGAGACTAATAGAGAATCCTCTATCTTTCCAAAAGGAAAAAAACTTTGAGCTTTTGAGAAGCAGAAATGAAATTTGAAAAGCGAAAATAGCTGAACAGAAAGAAATATTTTCTTTGTTTTTCAGATGTATTACTCTTGTTAGCGACGTTAATCAGCTTTAAATCGTAATTTTATTCTTAACTGAAGTAAAAACCATGGCAGAAAAAGGTCGAAATGATTTCAAAGTAAGAAGTAGTTATTCATTCACAATTTTTGGAATTCTTTACTCAATTGGTTCTAGGCGTGCGCCACTTACACCAAAGAGATGACAATAGCAGATAATGAGCAAAATGTAGGAATAAACTTGTTTAGCCGCAGCAGAATCGCTCTTATCAGCGAGAGGGCGTATGAAAATTATTCTGATGTCATTAAAACTGCAACAAATATCATTTCTTTTCTTTTCAAAAGAAATTTTTTCCTTTCTAACGTTTTTTCTCTGTTATATAGTGTAAAATATATAAAACACGCTATTTTTCTTTTTCTGTGCATGTGCTCTCCACTCGTTCTGTTTACACACAAAGACACTGTAAAGCAACGCAAAGAGAGAAAGAGATAAGAGTTAACTTTTATCTGTTTCTCTCTTTGCGTTGCTTTACAGTGTCTTTGTGTATAAACAGAACGAGTGGAGAGCACATGCACAGAAAAGGAAAAATAGCGTGTTTTATGTATTTTACACTATATAACAGAGAAAAAACGTTAGAAAGGAAAAAGTTTCTTTTGAAAAGAAAAGAAATGATATTTGTCGCAGTTCTATTTATTCTCGGTAATAAACAAACAGTGATTGTTTTCATCTCTAGATGAAACGTTGAATGATCAAACAAAACAAATGATGCCGAAGGAAGCCGACAGTTGTATTCCTCATGCTGAACAAATTAAATAAATAGTCAGCAATGACAATAAACAACTAACCGTGAACGATGTTAAGGAAAAGCATGGAGATGACGATTCAGAGAGGAGTAAAATAATGGAAAGCCTAGAAAGTAGAGTTGATCATGTAAAATTACTTCTGTGGTGTTTTTCTCGTTATTTAGGTCTAAAAATACTGTGCCCTAATTTTTTATTGTATGGCGTAAGTGTATAACAGATTTTGTCTTATCGAGAATATCTAACCTTTCCTTTGTCTCTGAATTCAGGCACCTGGTACTGGAAAAACATATTTAGCTAAAGCCATTGCCGGAGAATGTAATTGTACATTTATATCTGTTAGTTCGCTGGATTTACTATTAAAATGGCTTGGTGGTAGTAGAAAAACTGTTCCATATTTATTTGAATTAGCTCGAGAAAGACAGCCAACTATTTTATTTATTCATGACATTGATCTTTTATATTCAACAAGGGATGAATCAGAAGAAGATAAACAGAATAGAATACGATTTCTTTTACAAATCCAAGGTGAGCTAATTACGTTGCCTCTTATGCGTCAATGAATTTATTTGTCTTTCTCTTCAGATGTTACGACTATGCATCATAGTATAATTCTACTTGCAGCCACTAATACCCCGTGGACACTGCATTCATCTGTTCTTCGACAGTAAAATGTTTAACAACTTTTATTATTTGTAAGACATGCACTTCATGTTTCTGCTTAGGTTTAACAGACGAATATATATTCCTATGCCAGAAGTATCAGCACGTTTGACTATGTTCAAATCATTCATTGGATCCACGCTGAGTCAGATAATAGATAACAATGAATGGAGTCATTTAGCAGAAGCAGCAGAAAAGTTAGTAGTTACTGTTAGACGAGTTAATTCGTTTAATTAAACGCCTGTAGTCTAGTTATTCTGGAGCCCATATTTTTGTTGTAACACGAGATGCCACGTATTTCAAACGTGTAATAACACCGAAATGATAAATCTTATATGTTAACAACTTTATCTTTAATGTTAACCATTTAACAATTTTGACTTTGCTTATTGTAGATCAAAAATTCCCAACCAGACAGATCAGATTTATGGACTGAGAGTTCGTCAGGAGACCCACTTGCTGTAGCACTTACATTAGACAAGATTGATGAAGAGGAATTATATGTGCCACCAGTTACAATGGTAAAAAAGGCCAATAATGTCGTAAGACTTAGACTCTGGGACTTTCACTTCTGCTTTTATAACGATATGCTAGATGCATTATCAACTCAAATGGCATCCATTCAAATATCAGATTTAGAACAATATCGGAAATTCACAGAAGAATATGGTTAAGAAAAGTCGTCAATCGAAACATTTTTAACTATTCAAATGAGTTTGTCCTACCAAAGCATTCGCACTCCTTTGAAAGCACTAATTAGTATGTATACGAACCTATTTTAATTTTGTTGTATGGGCTTGTATATACTTCTAAAGAAATTGTCGAAAGCGCTTCGGAATGTAATTTTTAAAGTTTATACAAAATAAATTTCAACATTTAAACATTCAGTTATTACTAAGCAATAATTTAGGATATTTATAATGTATTTTCGATAATTCATTAGAAGCATTTAAAAATATTTTTTTTTATTACCGCGAACGGAGAGTTATCATTCTCTGCTATGTTTGAAAGAAATTTCATTAAGATTCTATTAATTTTAGAATTTGATTGATATGATTAACTATATCAATCAACCTTTAAAAGACTTTTTAATATTAAAATCGACCAACATTATTCTAATGTGGTTAAAAGATTATTGACACTTGGCAGTGTAGATGAAATAAGTTCAACGATTCTTCGTACATCAGGACTCAGTCATTTTATGTCGCAGCGAAGTGAAAATCAAGAGAATTTATTGCTATAAAGAATTCTGTTTCATTAATTCTTTAGCGGACAGGTGAATTATTGGATACTCGATTTCAATCCATAATTCTCCTGTCAGGTAGTGTCTAGGAATGAATGAAGATTGGTTATTCAGATAAATCTGACTTTCAAGTTGCATTTAGTGCACTTATTGAAAATTTAGAATACAACAACGAAAATAAATCTGCAGATTCCAGACCATTCTAGTGCAAACCCTTTAACGTTTTTTTAGCCGGAAAAATCGGAGGAATAAACTCACCTCTAAGATAGAAAGCATTTCCCCACGAAAAGCTGACTTGCTGCGACCAAAAAAGTGCTTGACGTTCTAGAGTAGTGATGAGTAGATATGCATTATCTACTGAGATTTTTAGCTTCATATAAAAAGCCCTGCTACAAGATGTGCTTTGTGTCTATATTATGCACTGACGACAAGGTTCCGTAAAGTTAGATGGTAATCTTCACTTGCGGTCAAGTTTATTCAAGTTAGACAAAATTTTCGAACAGGCAGTGTGGAGACATATCCCGATCGGGATGTATATTATATCCCGATTGGGATATCATTTTTTGCAGCAAAATTTTTTTTATATCCCGAACGGGATATAGTTTGAAATTAAATCCCGATCAGGATATAATTCGATATCCCGATTGGGATATCAAGAAAATCTATATCCCAATCAGGATATAGATTTTAGAAACATTAACATGTTTCTCATCAAATCTAATTAGTTTAAAAGGAGTGTTACCGTGCCAGGCAATATGAGTATAAATGCCACAACGCCTGGAATGATGATGTTCTCTTGGCATCCTCAGAAATGCTGGCTTCACGACTGATATACGTTTCAAAAGATACAGCAAGTTGTGATTCACTTATAAAGAACATAAGACAATTTATCTGCAAGAACGGATAGTTAGAAAATTCCCCGTTAAACACAAAGCACGTATATTTATATATTGTAGACGCATGAGAAAAGAATTGTGTTCCAATATATGTGGACATCGAAAAGGAAGAAATAAAAAAACGCGGTCGATGTGGAAAACGATTAGATCAAGAGTATATCCCATTATGAGCAATAAAAGATTAACAGCCTATTTCCCGATCGGGATATAAATTCGACGAAAATTTGTATTCGAAAAAATAGTTGCTGGGCGCTTGATACACTTTTGATTAAACACAACAGAATTCGATGTAGTTTTTCGAGCTCTTTCTAATGGTGACGTCAATTTTACCCCAAAATGTCGTCATTTTCCCCTTAATCGTTTTTACGACGAAATTTCGTGTTTTATATCCCGATCGGGATACTACTTTTTTTCTATATCCTGATCGGGATATACCTATATCCCAATCGGGATATATATCCCGATCAGGATATAGAAGGTGTCCCCTTACTGACAGGTGTATATGAACATTTGTGTAACTTCCCCCTCCTCAGAATAGACGACCATTTTGGCGAAATTTTTTTTGAAAGCTGTCCTGTAGGGCATTTTTTACGTTTTTTCTATTTTGGAGCGGACACGGTAGAACACCGGTGATCTTCTGTTAACGAGGAGGGGGAGAGGTGTAACGACTCATGGCCATTACATTCTTCTCCATGCTTGATCTTTTTGCAGTTTTCACAAATTCTTAAAATTTCGACGTTTCGCGGGTTTTAGTAAGGGAGATAATAGAAGAAAGAAATTATGTAATAAATCAATAAAGAATACAAGTCATTTCCGGAGAACAAAAGGAAAAACAAGTCATAATCGAAAGCAAATTTCGATTCTTTTGTCATTCTTGTCACTTTTCAACTTCAAACTAACATCGCTTATCTCCTTCTTCTTCTCCCCTGTCTCTCGCATTTATAGGGAGAGATTTCTTCTGATTAATCTTCGAATTCAAACCACTTCCTCTTATTCTCTCATACACAGGGAAGGAGGAGCTTTACTATGATATTTTAGGTTCATACTCATCATCATCTTTAGAATTAGAATCATTATCTAACACAACCATATAACGGTAGCTTAATGATCGTAATGTTGCTTGATAATCTTCTAAATCCAAGCGCCCATTGAAATCATTCTTCTTTGCTTCGGTTAATCGGAGATCATTATTCACAGTTCTTCTCTTTCTTGGACGTGTGGTACGTTGTTGTGCTTGTTCTTGCTCGTATCGTGACATTGTCGACTCTTCACTTTCCTGTATGTAACGGATCCACGCTACGGGTGTTAATTTAGTGTTACTTTGGAAAATAAATGTAAATGAATCGTTTATACTTAAAAAATAAAGATAAATTCTTCATTTATATTTAAAAAATAAAGATAAATTCTTCATTTATATTTAAAAAATAAATATAAATAAATCAAAAAAAAATTTATCTTTATTTTATAAAAATAAATGATCCATTTATCTTTATTTTATAAAAGTAAATGATTCATTTATATTTATGTAAATGAATATTTAAGTAAATGATTCTTTTATAAAATAAAGATAAATGGATCATTTATTTTTATAAAATAAAGATAAATTTTTTTTGATTTATTTATATTTATTTTTTAACTATAAATGACGAATTTATTGTTACTTTTTAAATATAAATGATTCATTTACTTTTATCCATTATTATAAATGAACAATAAAACTAAATTAACAACCCTAATCCACGCCCAAAGATGTGGATGTGTTTCACAATGCCTAAATAACAAAAAATCTTTTTGTCTCAAAGGTCTTTATTGTGAGTACAGATAGGATACTTACGAATTCAATTGCCCATGATAACCTTCGACATGATTATTGGTACGTGGTCTTATTCTAATGAGATCAAAATGACTCCAGAAGTCTATCGGATATCTTGGTTCTTCAATATACGTTTTCAACACATAATCAGTCAGTTTGATGCATTTATCACGAAGTTCAGAAAATGATTCTATTATATTTGAAAATGCTTCATTTACCTCATTTGGAGGTAATAAAGGCAATGCCATCATATTAACCACCTGCCGACGTGCGTTGTCATTATTTAGGATTAATTTTGTTAAACCGTACTTCTTGATCTTTTTCCATATGTTTTGTGCAAAATGGAAATGACAGCTTTTCACCATTCAAAGCTGTTGGAAACTTACGCGAGAAAGCATTCCATGAAGCAACTTCAAAATCAATTAAAATTGACTGTGCAAAAGCTCTCATTCTACAACAGCACAACTTTTTCTTTATTTGTCTTTTCTTTTCTGTTTCGTGCTCCTATTCATTCTATGCTCTCACTTGTTTGAAGTTCATTCCTTTCTCTTATCATCCAAATAGTTAACAAAAATAATTGTAAAGAACACAAACACACGTTTAATTTTTGTCACATCCAAGCCATACACATTAACTGCACAACACTCATCCACAATACTTTCGAAGGTACAGAACATCTGAAGAAGGGTTTTTCATTTTGTACCCAACGCTTTTTCGTTTTTCAAAACACGTAGAAAATGCTCCAAAAAAACGCAGTACAGTGTATGAATAAACCACAAAAGGTTTTCGACAGGCGAAAAGTAAAAGAAGAAACAGTCTGAAAAATCCCGCTTAAAATACCACTAAATCGACACTTTTTCTATGATTTTTTTAAAGAGAATTGCTTTTTAAGGGGCTTTTACGTCTAAGAAACTCAAAAGCGTTTGGTATAGTTACAAAATGAATTTTAAGCATCGAAATTCAGTGAGCATTTAAGATGAAACAGCATTAGCTTTGTCCAGCAGGCTGGGATTCGAGCTGTCGTCGCTTACTGTAGGTTTTACTTGTCAGCCTTCCATCTTAAATTGGTGCACAGATAATCTCGCTTCCAAAAAAATGGAAACAAAAGGCTCGAAGGGTATGTTGTTAGATCTAGAAGAAGAAAGAGAGCTTTTTACTTGTATTCATTTTAAAAGCCGTCGCCGATTTTTCAAAAATAGTATAAACCGAACGGTCTTTTGGTCATAATAAGAAAGGGTATACCGAAAAACGTTAAAAAAGAAAAATATTAAACGACTATTATTAAAAAACAATTAAATATTTTTCTATCTGAACTACTAAATATTTTTCTTGTTGTAGGATACTTAATTATTTTTAAAAGGAAGCAAATATTAAAGCTGGTTAATATGTTAATATTAACAGAGTTTTTGATTAGACAGAAAAATATTTAACTATTTTAAAATGGAAGCATACTTTTTGGTCAGCAAAATTAATGAAATGGTCAGTACTAAAATGGTCAGCAATTAATTATAAAATAGTCAGCTTTTTATATATAAGGATCAGTAAACAGTTCAATATTTTGATTATTTTTACACCATTGCCCTAATTCACCTAAATGAATTTGGATAAAATAATAAATGAGCTCGGAAAAAAGAGATATTTGAGCTCGGTGTACTTAATTGGCTTTAAAATGATAGAAATGAGCTCGGTTGTAATAAAATTATATTTTTTTATATAAATGAGAGTTTTGAGCTCGGAAATTTGTTAATCTAATAAAAAAAGAGATATTTGAGCTCGGAAATTAATTTATACTCTAAAAAGAGACAAATGAGCTCGGTATATTTTATTTTCGTCGGTAAAACGAGAGAAATGAGCTCGGTAATTAATTTATGAAAATTAATTAATGATTTTGTGAGTAGTAAAGTATATTTAATAAGAGAAAAATAGTTCAAGAACAAAAAAGTGCTAGATTACAATAGTTTTTCACCAATATTCAGTCTTTTGTTAAAGCTAATTTAACTTTCTTTGGACGATCTTTTCCCCTTCTTATCCCAAGTGCCTGTGGAACTTTACGATGATCCCACATCATTATTAAGCCCAATGAATGAACGCAAGAGTATTCTTTAAGGCCATATTTACATGAGCAAAATAATGGTGGAGTTAAACTAGAAAAATCAACTAAACGCGCAGAGTTTAACCAGTCGGTCACCGTACGAATTCCAAGACATGCTATGATAATATTGTACCCATAATGATGTACCCATTTTTGGTTCAGAAGAAGGTACAACATAACTAGCTGCACCTAAATGTAATACTTTTGTTCGATCAAGTTTTTGTAACCATTGATATGCCCTAGTTGCCAAATCATTAGTAAATTCAATTTGAATAGCAAATGGTGTATTCGCGCTAGCTAATGACCAGTCATATAACATACGTTCAGCTGTTTGTAAGAACGATGACAATGAAAATTTGTTACATAATGTGTACATTTGTTTGATTTTACCATTCAACGATTCAAGACCATTATTAGTAGATGGACTAAGATTTGCACTACCTTCATACCAAAACGGTAATGATAATAACCACTGGTCTTCAAAATATTTTCTAAATGCGTCAAGGTCTTTGTCAGCAGTCCATTTCATTATCATCAATCTAGCTGCGCTACCAAATAAATGATCATTAAAAACTAATTGTAAATTGACGATATCTTTTTCAATAGCTAACCATTTTTCTTTATCTAATACCAATTTTCGATGTTCACGACTCTTACGGATTACGTGTGCCCAACACATAAGTCGGCATGCTTGTGGTAACTCACACATGGCACTGGTAATGCCAGCAGCACCATCAGCCATAACATGAGTAATATCATATGGTTGTTAAATGATTAGTGGTACATATGATTTTAATACACGAAATAAAGTTTTAAATGTATCTGCTGATTTATCTGTTGATATTAAACATAATCCTAATGGATGAAAATGTCGATTTAAATCTGATGTTCCAAAAAAAAGTAAAGGTAATTCATTGCATGTTATTTTATATGTACAATCAATAGCTACGATAAGTAAGTCGATATCAGTTTCAGAAGTAGAAGAGAAACATTCGTGCCAAGTTCGTCGAGACATTATGAAAGAACAGATTTAGTTGAGAATGTACTGATCGGACACGCATACAGACTTTTATAGCTATTTGAGTATCAAAAGCTCATCGATTTGTATATGATGAAAAACAGATCATCAGTTTTTTTTATAAAGGACAAGATAATTGTTCAGTTGCGTGTATGTTGGCGTCCTTATTTTTCTTGCTTCAAGTGCTCGAATAATTTGTTTGGGCCTCATTACACCATCGTTAAATAATTCTTAAATAAAGTGAAAAAATATTTAATTAATTTTTAATATTAGTCGTTTAATATTTTTCTTTTTAACAGTAGTCTATAGACCCATAAAAAAACCGTGATATATTTTAGGAAACGCATTTTCCACCAACAAAAAACTCATGAGTTGTTAGAATATTCTGTTTTGGAATATTATCGAAATTTCCAGAATTTATCTAGGCCGAGTTATTTTTTAGCTCCTGTGCTTTTCGAAAATAATAAAAATTTTCTAGCACCTTATGTGGGTTTTCGGAACTTTTCATCTTTTCAGCTTCAGACTCCGTCACATGTACATGAAAATATATAGTCAGAGAATTTCCAGTTAGCCGACTAACACGTTCACATATAATGTTGTCTAATTCAATTTTCAACTTTTGCAACCCTACCCCTTTAATCCAAGATTGCATTTTGTAGCTCAGTCTGCTTAGGTACTTCTCTTCCACTATCTCATATTCTAGTGTAATCTAACCATCTAATCATGACATCCAAGACACCATGTGCTCATTCAACATGCGATAAAGGGATTGGCATTTTTGCATGCGAAGGTTATCAACAAAAGTTTTGTCGAAAGCATTCGAACGAACATCAAGAAGAATTAGCGAAGCGACTGGAGACAATCGTTTTCGAGCATGATCTCATTCAACAGCAACTACAAAACACCTCGGACTCAACGACAAAACATTCTCTTTTCACACAAATCGACAAGTGGGAAACA